GCCCTGCTGTCGTTCTCTCTCGCTCTCGCTTTCGCTCGTCGTCGCCGTCGTCGTCGTCGTCGTCGTCGCCGTCGTCTTCGACGTCGTCGTCGTCGTCGTCCTCGTCGTCGTCGTCGTCGTCGTGGTCGATCCCCTGTCCGTCCCTCTTGGGGTCGGGTCGACGGTCCGCGGCCGCCCCGCCGATCAGCGCTGCCGCTGGCCAGGCCGACGGTCCACGGCCGCCGCGCCGCTTGCCGGGGCCTGGCCTGCATGGAAGAAAGGTGTACCCCCCAAAAGGGTTTCGATCGAAGAAAAAGGGGGCAGGTATCGAGGGCTAGGGAAATACGCGTTATTGGACACTCGATCATATAAGGGCGAACCGTCCTAAAATTATTGTTGGTGTTGTTGTTGCTGCTGTTGTTGCTGTTGTTGTTGTTGTTGAATTCTCACTTCTCAAAAAGAATTATGGTTGATCCCCCCCCCACCGGTGCATACTGATTTGTCTCAATCAAAGTGTGCCCCTCGACGCTCGCACCCTGTTTTTTGACACGGATAGTCTTCCTGCTCAAACTGGCCCCCTGGCCCCCGGGTTACAACAACAACGGCTCGCGCCTGAGACTTCCTTACAATTTAGCCAGGACCCCCGCTCCCGCCCGAGATTTCTTCGCATTTTATTCAGGAATCGCGCTCTCGCTTAGGACTTCCTTACAATTTATTCAGGAATCGCTCTCCCGGCGCTCTGGAGTCGCGCTCTCGCTGGAGATTTGGTTGCAACTTACCGAAGAATGGCCTTGCGTTGGAATTTCTTGCAATTTGCCCAAGCGCCGCGCTCCCGACACCCACGCGCCCAGGAATCGCGCCCGTCGTGGCCCCATGTGCATGCCCTTCGTGGCCCCGCTGTCGCCATTTGTGCCCCCCTCACTGTCCTACGTGGCCTGGTTGCTACCCTCCGTGGCCCCATAGTTGCCTCCCCGTTCGTTCGCGCTCTTCGTGGCCCCATACGCATTCCCTTCGTGTCCACGCTGTCGCCCTTCGTGGCCTACTTCGTGCCCTTCGTGGCCCTGCTGTCGTTCTCTCTCGCTCTCGATTTCGCTCGTCGTCGCCGTCGTCGTCGTCGCCGTCGTCTTCGACGGCGTCGTCGTCGTCGTCGTCGTCCTCGTCGTCGTGGTGGTCGGTCCCCTGTCCGTCCCTCTTAGGGTCGGGTCGACGGTCCGCGGCCGCCCCGCCGATCAGCGCTGCCGCTTGCCAGGCCGACGGTCCACGGCCGCCCCGCCGCTTGCCGGGGCCTGGCCTGCGGGGAAGAAAGGTATACCCCCCAAAAGGGTTTCGATCGAAGACTAAGAGGGCGGGTATCGAGGGTTTGGGAAATACGCGTTACTGGACACTCGAGCATATAAGGGCGAACCGTCCTAAAATGATTGGTGGTGTTGTTGTTGTTGTTGGTGGTGGTGGTGGTGGTGGTTGTTGTTGCTGTTGTTGTCGTTGTTGTTGCTGTTGTTGTCGTTGTTGTCGTTGTTGTTGTTGTTGTTGATGGTGTTGTTGTTGTTGTTGTTGCTGCTGCTGTTGTTGTTGTTGGTGCTGTTGTTGTTGTTGTTGTTGTTGTTGTTGTTGTTGGTGGTGGTGGTGGTGTTGTTGTTGTTACATTCGCGCGCACAAGACGAAATCCTTCCAAAAGCTTAGTGTTCGGAACGATTTTAACATAAAAACATCAAAAAAACAATGGTTTTTCAACAAAAAAATGTCAAAATCTCATCCCGCGCGCTCTTGCGGATTCGTAGGAAAACCAACACTTTTTAAACATTTCTGTCAAACGGGCTTTTGCGAGCAACTTTTTCGAACTTCTGCGACAACGGTTGCGCACCTGCCAGGGCCATCATCCCTGTCAAATAATACCATGCGGGACACATTCGTTTTTTCTTCGCGCGCGCACGCCGAAATCTCCAAAAACCATTGGGTTTCTTAAGAATTTTAGCACCGCGCATCATAAAATCACACGAATCGCACCGTAGGTCCTCGAAAAACACCTGCACGACTTTTCAAAATTTCCACCCGCGCGCGCTGTCCGAATCCTAAAAAAAAACCAATGGTTTTCCAACATTTATGTTACATGAGCGACCAAGTTCTGTGGGTGTGTACCCCACGCCAGTGTAGTAGCCACGGTCGTCCGCACGCCACGAAGTGAAGTGTCCCAACGTCATAGGGCGGGAAGCTGGGTTTGGGTGGTCGCGAAGAGTCGTTTGGATATTTGGTAGAGCTTGTAATGCCCCCCCACGAAGTGGGGGTATTGCCTGGTGTCGTATGAAAACCCTGGCACTGGGGAGAACACCACGCGTTCGGGTAAAATGATTGTTGTTGTTGTTGTTGTTGTTGTTGTTGTTGTTGTCGTTGTCGTTGTTGTTGTTGTTGTTGTTGTTGTTGTTGTTGTTTTTCCTGGTACCCCCACCAGCGCGAGGCTGTTGGAGTACCGCGCGGGGATGCCCCCAGCAACCCCGCTGGGGACGTGTTGGAGCGCGGTGGGCAG